GCGTATATCGATGACTTAACAACTGTGGTGACGATGTCTCTGCCACGGAAGATCACAGCGACGCAGTGGTTTGACTTGAGTACGAAAATGTGCAGGGAGGCTGTTTTTGACGATCATTTCCAGCGACTTTGACGTATCTCGTTGACTGGGACGCGTCCGTCGCAATGGCGGAAAAATAGGGATTCCTTTTTTTGTCCCTTACTAGGAACCGATCGCCGCCTTGTTTAGTTTTAGTTAGGCACTTGACTTGTTAGCCGATGAATGAATCATATAACGACTGTGTAGTGAATTTCGAGTCCACTTTTGAACTTAAATTTGTCTTCTCCCCTTTTGTCTAAACCGTCCTTGATCCTAACAGACCCACAGCAACCAGGTCTGTAAACACGAAGAATTGATTACCACTGTGATTGTTCGCGTATCACAGAGTGAATCATTAATTCATGGTATAAAAATATCCCGATAGCCTCGACTGAAATTGGTTGCCACTCGTTTTTCACCAAAAAAATGGGTATGCACGAGCTAACAAGGGTTGATGGGGCTACTCCTGTACATTCCGTGGAGATTCTGAAGGGACCCCTGCTAAGGTAGGCCTAGACCTCCTCGATCGCACAAGACAAGCATTATCCCTCAGGATCAGTGCGCTCTTGATGCCTTGGCAATAGACACTTGCCAACTCAAGTACAAGAAACTCATACAGAACAGAACTTCTATATGCGGGGATGAAGTGAGGAGATCTCAGCTCTCTTGGTAGCAACTACGACGACAAAATAGCTAAAACTTCCTCTTTTATCAGCCAGACGGGGTACCACTCTCAATATAGACTCACCTATACACAGATGTCGCAATGCCCATGACACAATCTGCCTATGCCCATCCGACCTCCTTACGCGCTCTGATCAAGCCCGAAGAAGACTGGACCAAGATATCAGATTTTGGCAAGCGGAGGAGGATGCAGAACCGCCTTGCTCAGCGCAAGTACCGTAAGTTGGATCCTGTCGATTCTGGGTCTTTGTATTCACCAGGAAAAACTCGAGAGAAAGCCATTCGAGCTGGTCGAGCATAACTAACGCCCGAAGACAGGAAATAAAGTCAAGCGCCTTGCTGGTTCCTCTGACGATGTAGAGGCTGACAAGCCCCGTCAAAAGCCAACCAAATGCAAGCGCCGTTCCTCAGCATCTCGCAGTAGGAAACCACGCTCTACAGGTCCCAGAATACCTGGCGTCTCTCAGCATCAATTCAATTCACCTGTGAAGCCTACTGGCGAGCCTGGCTTTCCCGACACCTACGACGACCAAATCAGCTCCAACGAACAATTCCGCTTGGGTTGCCCTGTCAATCCTGCTTCCATTGAGATTCCCCTTCCTCTCTATGACTTTACTCAGCCCGACATAGACATTGTAACCGCTGGTGAATATGCTGCCAGCACAATGTCCTCCACAGTGCCCATGCCACCTTCTCTTGCAACACATTTTAGCGACTCCATCAATTCAGAGACGTACCCCAGCAGCGATGGATTCAACCCGTACATGGCCTACAGTAACATGACTCCTATGGAACTCAATTATCTCAGCCTATACGACCAGCTCTATCTTCATGTGAGTCACGCCAGTAAAACATTGCATGAGGCTGCACGAGCTCCACGATGTTAATGAGGTTCGCAGACTCCATCCCCGTTCTATTCTTCGGATCAATCTGTCGATATCTTACAGGCTGGTCTCGACTGTTCAATTACGCACAACTAGAAGATATAAAGAAATTTTCTTTTTCTTGAGGTAATACTTATGTAGTCTAAGCGCCTGAGCATATGGTACCCAGTAATAAACTAAAGGCGGATTGGGCAAGGGATAGGAAGAATGAGGGTGACCTCCGATTTGCCGCTGCTGAGATGTTTGAAGCAAATAAATGCAGTTTTATTGAGGCACCCTCTCAAATATGGCCCAAAGGAAACAACTCAATACATTTATCAAAAGAAACAAGATGAGTGAGCGAGGAGATCAAGGACTACTCTTTCGGTATATTAGAGAAAGCGAAGCCGACATACATCATTCAAGACATTCGTGGCGTCAAAAATGGACGTCATCCCTGGACATGATTTGCACCTGTTTCAAATCCTTCTCTTAACCTGCTTGATCAACCCCAAATAAAAGATATTAAATAGGGTCTATCAAAGTCTGAGGTGTGAGCAAAATAAGGGTTTCTCTTCCATTTTCTGGTGACTGTGCCTTCAGGCCGTCAATGAAACTCGCATCTTGCTTAGTTTAACCGAGCTAGTAATCGTTTGTCAGCGGGTAATACGCCGCACGGTGTGAACGTTGCATTATCCTCCATCCATAAATTCTCAATAGTGGAACAAACTTGGGACGTGTAATTATTCACATGGCTCCAGTTGGGAATACTAATCAATCTTTCGGGCCTTCATCTCCGTGCCTACGGCAGGTTTGTGAAAAGATTGAGGGGCGGTACCACAACAAATGACTTGGTCATACAATAGCCCTTCAGAGACTGCCTATGAAATTTCGAAACTAAACTCGCGTCTTCTGGATCATACTTTAAAAGATGTTCAGTACACAGGGATCGAGTCTCAGCCCGTTCCAATACCCTCATCAAACCTTGCTCTCCTCTGTTCAGATCCCCCTAACAAGACTGAAACTTTCCCTGCTGTCACAGTCCCTACGGAACGTTGGTTCTCGAAACATTGGTGCCAGGCGCTCACTCACTATGGAAGATAAAGGCGGCAGTGGAAACCCAGCTTGGCAGCAGCAGTGGGTTGAATGGACCAACGTCTTACCGAGCAGCAACACACAATACCTGCTCATCTGCCTTGGCTACGTCATAATATTTGCATATCATACACGGCACAGTATCTCAGCTTACTATGGACACTCACGTACAGAGAAGTCCCTGGCACTGGCCTTGCATATTCTGGCTGCTACCTTTGAGCCTAAGCGATACTACTTACCGAGCGGCAACACACAATATCTGCTCATCTGCCTTGGCTACGTCATAATATTTGCATATCATACACGGCACAGTATCTCAGCTTACTATGGACACTCACGTACAAAGAAGTCCCTGGCACTGGCCTTGCATATTCTGGCTGCTACCTTTGAGCTTACGCGATACTACTTTCGTGCATTCAGAAGAACAGTACAGCCAGATCTCTTCGACACGGCTGCCTGCATGATCCATTCGATCACCAGCCTCCGTCTAGCTAGAACGTTGCGCAGGGGAGACAAAACCACTCGAGCATCGTACCAGGCGCCGGCGATGCTGCGACCAGTGCTATCCTTTGCTGCAGTGGTACGACAGGACGCTTTTGCGCATGAGGCTTGTGTCAAACTTCTCCATGCTTTCTTGTACACCCGACTGCTCATTTTTGTGGCCAAGAGAATTGGCTTGGGGAAGATTCAGTCTCACTCTACTATATACGCTCGAGCGGTAACCCTAGGGGCCATTTTAGCAATTAGGTCCTCGGGTCTTCCGGCAGGAGTGCCGATATACGTCGGAGCGGTCGGCTTAGTTATGGTTTTTAACCAACAAACACCCAGCAATCTCCCTTCATCGGTTCATTTAATGGATGGCATTGAAAGACGTCCTGATACCAGAGTCATCAGGTCAACCTCCGTCAAAATGACTAAGGAAAAAGTTCAACAGGCCGTTACGAAAGTCATCCACTGGCTGGGTTTGTTCGAAATCAAGGGTTTTGAAATGAAGCACCTTTCGCCCGCTATACCTGCAGGTGATATTGATGAATACACCGAGCAAAAGCTTGCCGCTACATGAAGTTTGAGGTCTGGCATTAGATAGCTGATTTCTGATACTTATTGTCATGTGTACCATTCGATGAGCTGACGCTATCATTGCCGGTCGGTTGAAATGGGGAATTTGGACGAGGAAGAGGTAAGAGAATACATAAAATAATATGTCGGTGTGGATTACAGAGACGCTGGAGATCCTGAACTCATTCATAAAATGGTGATATATTACATGCCTCCAGTTCGTCGCCATAAATCTGTGTATTGATTACGTTGTTTCGCAAAATCCTTTCCCCAGTAAATTTATCGTGTCTAAGGGCAATCTTCTGAGTCCAATTTCAGAGGTAACCGCTTAAGCTTTGCTTTCTATTCAATAGGATCAAGTTTTCTAACGGGGTCTGCAGAGCTAACAGGGCATTGGAAGAACTCCAGTGCACTACATTCTCAACCGAAACCAGAGGCAGCCTGGCCTTCTGATCAAAGTCATGGGCCATCTGGCTGCTGTGGTGCGTTGAATTTATCTTGTACTGTGACAGAATATGTCAGAACTCAGAAGCAAACCAGAGCTCGCAGCAGTGCCACTGCCCTGTATCAAGTCCACAATTCTAACCACGCCCCTATCTCATTCTGCGGCCATTACAAACTGGATTGTTTTCGACATTAACGCATTCATATTATCCCGGCCAAGATCAGACGCGACAAAGATCTTTCACAAAAGATCAATCAGGAAGGATCAGAGATAGCGATAATAAACCATGCTCGTAGCCATTGGAGGCAACGGATACTGTGGCAGCCACAATAAGAGTGTCTTGGGTCGTGCTCACAGCTTCTTTCGATCGGGGCTGTACTTGACACCGTGAGGAGCACATGCGCACGAATCGTCCGTCAACACTTTGACCGAACTGTCTCATTGTATGGAGACTGCAACAGAGTGTGATGGGTAATACTGCCTTGTGCGACCCAAGGGCGGTCCAACTAACGGGAAACTTCCGTTTCCTGACCTGCATGTAAGACATGGTAATAGCCACGTCACCCGTGTCTAGCGCTTATTTACGATGTGTTCACGATATGTGGTGTGTGAAAGACCTGCCCCTGCCGAATTCATTGTCTCTGCGCGTGACCTCAAGATCCCTTGTCTGCATGCAACACTCCAGATTATGCCTTTCACTCAACGCTTGTTCATTTCGATGTTTGATGGTCTCTCAAGAGATGATTTATCTTTCATTCATTTTTTTAATCCATATTTCACAAATTTAAATCATACAATTTGACCTCCTCCTCTTTGACGTTGAGGAACTTCCGCTCGCCCTTAAGATTAAAAGAAACTTTTCGGAGTTTATCGTAGTGACCTATGAAGATTTCAAAATCTGAGCGGTTTCGGAATGGCTTTGACACGTGCTTAGCGTCGTTCAGAGTTCTACTGAAGGGGCGATAATCGCCCCGGAGATGGAACGCTTTCAGCTGCCTCGCCGATAAATGGATGTTCTTCTGTGATAAGATTAATACAACTCCCTTTCAAGTCAGGCAAACAAAGAGGTGGTTTCCACTGACTTCATAATTCATTCGTCGATAACGCTGCCCGCCAGAAGCCTGCAGGTTGACTGGCATGCCAATAAACTCGATCTTGGGACATGACCCAATGAGCTTCTGCACTCCGTAGAGATCGAATCGCATGCATGACTGCGGTTGATCTATGACCTCTCGAATATCCAATACCAATAGCCGAAGCATCTTGCCGTGATTCATGACATTTTCGAGCAACGACGAGCGTAAGCGTCGAACAGGTTCGTCGGCTTCATTGGAGTTCGCCATTACTTCAGTGTGATGGACCGAACTTATGGCACCACTCTTACCGGCGAGATGAGACAATCCTCCCAGTCGAAGCGAGAGCTCCTCCAACTCGCACGTCTTACCTAAATACGAGAGCAGTTCCAAAAAAGAATGCCTCGAAAGATGGCCGGCAAAACGTAGAACTTTCAAGGAGCTGAGTTTCTTCGTTTCCAACAAACGCTGAATCAATCGATCGGCACCAGGGCAGAGATTGAGGTCCAGATTACGCAGATTCCATGTTCTGGCAGGTACAAGTTCAGAGACACAAAAACCATGCAGCGATAATTCCTTCAGATGTGTTAAGAGAGTATTTTCAAAGAACGTAGTACCTGGTATTAGATTCCAGGCTGGAATGCTAAGGATGACAGAACCGAGCTGACTGCAATGCGATAAATGCCACTGAACCCATTCAAGCTCTGCCTTGGATCGAATATTTTTGTGAATCAAGCTTCTGAGATTAGGGAAAGGCTGTGTACCTGTAACCCATGGACACTCGCATGAAAAAGTAGTTACTCGCTCAGGAGCAAGCATGATGGCTGAAAGAATTGGACTTAAGAGTTGAGAGTGACCTAGGCTCCAATTGTATGTATTGCCACGATGTAAAATATCAATAGATCTAACCAAACCGCCTAACTGTAGGTTTGTCGATAGCGTCCTTAGGACTAGCATGGTACTGCAGTCAACGATACCAGATGTGAAATTGAGCTGCAGAGTCTGGTATAGAAGTGGCTGGGCGCGTTTGCGGTTTAGCCTACTGCATCTGACCAAGCTGCTGAGATCGCGGGTGGATAGATACCTCGCTAGTATCCAGTATACCTCGACGGGAAGGGAGTCCATGGTGATGATGAAGTTTAGCTACGAAGGTTACCACGGAACTTGATATAGTCAATCTCAGAACGGTCGCGCTGCAAAATAGATCTTCAAGTCTAATTATACTTGTTGATAAGACGCATCATGAAACGGTTCGTACAAGGCTGCCTCATGATGCTTTCTGAGACAAGGAAAATACAAGAATTATGTTATGATAAATGTCACTTTCGACTAAACTGTATTGTCTCATGGAGCCTGATTCTGGGCAAAAGCTGTCAGGGCTACACCCTCCAATTCTGCTTCGTTGGTGATAATCATCTCGGGTTTGTGTCTTGCCAAATGCCCCAATACTTTTCAGTCCGGTTAGCAGCCCGCAGCGCTCCGGAGATACCCTTAAATCCTGACAACATTGTGATAAGTGGTGTGAGTGACTGGATAGCGCGCTGTAGCGCTGATCAAAAACTCGTGCGTTGTTGCAGATGACGACATGTTTCATACATTTGACTGCTGTAGTGGCAAACACTGAATTCTCCTTGTATGTACCTGAGGTCGATGTTGATTCCTTCTTATTGTTAAACTTTTCACTATTTGCTTGTTTCTATTAAAAGTCCATCAGCTTTGAAAGTCGCATATCTTACATATAAAGATTCGGCTTCATTCCAATAAATCATCCCACGCAAGTTTAGAAAGGGCTCCAAGACCTCGTAGTCATGCATATCGACACACTGAATTCTACGCACCCATGGGGTTCTCATCTGACCCCTGGCAGTAGCCCTGCGAGTATCGGATATGATGACTTCACCGATTACGGCACTGATCAAGCGCTTGCATGCCAATACGATACCGAAGAGCAACTTTTCTCTCTAGATTCGTGTTTCGATTCCTTTTTGAAAGTCAACCAGATTTCTCTAGCCCATACGAGCTACCAGACTTATCCCAAAGAGCAGTCTCGCCTTCGATGACCTCACTCGACCGCACGTTCTCTTCAGAAATTGCTGGATATGACTTTTCTACGTCCCACACATTTGCAAGTCCGATTTGGCCTTCCGATGAAAATGAGCACCCCAGAAGCTTTTCAAGCTTTCGGGTGTGGCTAAGGACGTTGATAACCCCTCTAAGTGGGGTCCCGTCGATGATTTGGAGTCACATGGCCCAAAACTTTCACAAACTGGCAGAGCTGGTGGTGGCACGACAGAAAAAGTACCATGTTTGCAGAAATCACCGAGAAGATCTCGGAGGAGGAACAAAGGCAAATCAAGCATCGAGCCACTTCGGACGCTTCAAAGGAATATCACAGGTGTGAATTTCCTGGATGCAGTTGGACATTCCGAAGAAATGAACACCTGAAACGTCACATGAAGACGTAAGTGCACCTTAAGCCAGTGATACCTTCCCTCTGAAGCTTGGCTTTGCTGAAAACCTTCACGTTAGTTTACACAGAGAAGCTCCCGAATCCTTTTTCTGCGAGTTTTGCGGTAAGAATGGCTTTAGCCGTCGTGACAACCTGAAAACCCATCGGAAGCTACATGCACGT